AACAGAAAAAGGACATTAGTAGAAAACCAGTGAATAGAGTGGCCAACCAGTTTGCCCAGGACTGAGGGGACTTCAGAGGTATGGGACTTCCAGTTTTAAAGCCAATCCAGGGCCGGCCCCATGGCTTAGCAGGTAAGTGCGTGCGCTCCGCTGCTGGCGGCCGGGGTTCGGATCCCGGGCGCGCACCGACGCACCGCTTCTCCGGCCATGTTGAGGCCGTGTCCCACATACAGCAATTAGAAGGATGTGCAGCTATGACATACAACTATCTACTGGGGCTTTGGGGGGAAAATAAATAAATAAATACAATCTTAAAAAAAATAAAAAATAAATAAAGCCAATCCAGTCAAGTCTTGGGCACCTGGGAGCCCTACTTGTGAATGCAAATAAAGTCTGTAGCTTTCTTCGTAGTTTTCATCAATTAGGTTTGATAAATGTATCATGGTTGCGTAAGATGTTAATATTAGGGGAAGCTGGGTGAAGGGTATAGGGGATAAGATTACCAAGGACTGAGTGCTGGGGTACTCCTTCCTGTAGATGTTGGGAGACCAGGAGGAACCAGCAAAGGAGTCTCAAAGAGATGGGAGGAAAACCAGTTGAGCATCTGGTGCAGAAGACTGCGCACCAAGGCAGGGGCACAATCGATAGTGTCAGATGCTGCTCGGAGGTCAGCAAGCTGAGCGCCAACGACTGACTGGATGTAACTGTGGGAATCCCTAGTGACCACATTAAGGGCAGTTTGGGAGCCAAAGCTCAAAGTTCTTGGGCTCAAGAAAAATGAGAGGAAAGAAATTGGAGACAGTGATAATACACAACTCTTTCCAGGAGCTCTGCAGCAAAGGGAAGGAGAGAAACAAGATGGCAGCTGGAGAAGGAAGAGGGTCAAAGCAGGTGTGTTGTTGCTGTTGTTTAATAAGAAAGAACTGCAGGACTGATGGCCTTGGATGGGGGAGGGAATGGGAGTTCCCAAGGGACAGGTTTGGACTTTGTTAGGAGCGTGAACAGTTTACCCACAATAATCAGAGAGAAGGCAGAGTACACGGGCATACTTGGGTATTTTAATTTTCTCAATGAAATAGGAAGCCCAGTTGGTCTCCCTCCCTCCCTCCCTCACACCTTTGCTCAAATGTCACCTTCTCAATGAGGCTGACCCAGACCTACCAGCCTACTTAAAATCACACTCTCCAACCCACATCCCTCCACCCCACTCCCCCACTTTTTTTTTTCGCTCTAAAGCATTAACACCTTCTAGAACACAGTTTCTCAACATAGGCACTATTGACATTTGGGGCTGGATAATTCTTTGTTGTGGGGGCTGTCTATGCACTGTAGGGTATGTGGCAGCATCCCTGGCTTCTACCAGTTAGATGCCAGTAGCACCCCTCCCCCTGTGACAACTAGAAATGTCACCAGACATTGCCAAATGTCCCCTAGGGGGCAAAATTGCCCGTGGTTGAGAACCACTATTCCAGCATATAACATAATTTACTTCTTTGTTTATTGTTTGTCTCCTACTGCCAAAATATAAGCTCCACGAGGACAGGGAATGCGTCTATTTTGTTCATTGATGCATCTCCTGTGCCTAGCACATTATGTGCCTCCTGTGTCTGGCACATAATTGGTGTTCAGCAAGTATTTGCTAAATAAATAAATACATTCATGCGGAGGAGTGATTATAATGATTGACATTAAGTCTTTGAAATCTGGTGTATCGTTTATACTCACAGCACATCTCAATTCAGACTGGTCGCATTTCAAGTACTCAGGAGCCACATGTGACCAGTGGCTCCCATATAGGATGGTACGGCTCTCCAGTATGGCTATGGGAGTGGGTGGCTGGGGGAGGAGGGAGGACAAGATGATGGAGGCAGAGGGGTCCAAGGAACTGAGAGGCCTGGCACTTGGATCATCCACATGTATATCGAAGTCTCTAAGAATTAAAACAGGAGGGCCGGCCCCGTGGCTTGGCGGTTGAGTGCGTGTGCTCCGCTGCTGGCGGCCCGGGTTTGGATCCCGGGCGTGCACCGACGCACCGCTTCTCCGGCCATGCTGGGACCACATCCCACATGCGGCAGCTGGAGGGATGTGCAGCTATGACATACAACTATCTACTGGGGCTTTGGGGGGAAAATAAATAAATAAATAAGAGTTAAAAAAAAAAAAAAAGAATTAAAACAGGAGTAGGATGGAGAGGGTGACAGCAAGCCAGGAGCTAGAGTTATCAAGAAATGAGCGATCCAGGGGCTGGGTGATGTCAGAAACAAAGTGGGTGGTATAAGCTGATAACTTGAGTTCAAACCTGAATGTTTGAAAGGAGGAGAGAGGAGGGTGTCTATAAGTGGCGATGAGGATCGAGGAGGACGCCTGCCCCACCTCCAGGCCCAGTGGCAGGAGGGGTGGGGAAAGTCTGTGGGACAAGAGTGGGGAGCAGTGGTGACCTCAGGGAGGGCAAGGTTTCTGCTAGAGCAGGAGGGTTAAGGACTGCAGAAGGGGGTGAGAACACGGGGGGTTTTGCTAAAGATGCACCTTCAACTCGAGAGGCACAGTGGACAGCTATCAGGAGCCCAGGGTGGAGATGGGTCAGAAAAGGGGATGGCCAGAACCTCCCCAACAGGGAGAAAGGGTAGAATCAGTTCCCATGGTCTCGAGGTGGGGGGGTGGGCGTGGGGGGGTGGTAGCTGTGAGTGTGAGGACACAGAGGGCAGAGGTTCCCACCAAGGGTGCCAAGGCTCTTGAGGCTCCAACTTGAATCTGCTGATGGAGGCAAGGAGGCCGGGGGAGGGTGGTCCACCAACATATATGTATGGAGCACATTAACGTAAACTGAACTTATGGGGGGAGCGGAGGGGATCAAAGGGGAATTCAGCCTCTAATTGTTTTACAAAGAAAATTTGTGTATTATTGTAATTAATTTAAAATAGCATCAGCTATGTAATATTCTTGACAAAAAAGTTAAATCTGAATTTAATGAGGAAACAGTCAGACAAATGCAAATTGCAGGTCATTCTACAAAAAAACTGGCCTGGACCCTTCAAAAATGTTAATATCATAAAAGACCAAAAAAAAAGGGGGGGCAGAGAGAGTTGTTCCAGATTAAAGGAGACTCAAGAGACATGACAACTGAATACAATATGTGATCTGGCATTGAGTCCTCAGTTTTTCAAAAATGCTATAAAGAAAATTTTTGACACAATTGTGCTACAACATAAGTGGCTTAAACAACGGAAATGTATTGTCTCGCAGTTCTGGAGGCTGGAAGTCTGAGATCAAGGTGTTGGCAGAGTTAGTTCCTTCTGAGCGCTGTAAGGGAGAATCTGTTCCAGGCCTCTCTCCAGCTTCTGGTGGTTTGCTGGCAATCTATGGTGTTCCTTGGCTTGTAGAAGCATCAACCTGATTTCTGTCTTCATTCTCCTGTGTCCCAATTTCCTTTTTTTTTTTTTTTTTTTTTGTGAGGAAGATTAGCCCTGAGCTAACATTCGCGCCCATCTGGGACACACCACCACAGCACGGCTTGAGGAGCAGTGCATGGGTCCATGCCCGGGATCCAAACCCGGGGAACCCGGGCCGCCAAAGCGGAGCAGGCAAACTTAACTACTACGCCACTGGGCTGAGCCCAAATTTCCTCTTTTTTAAAGGACATTGGTCATATTGGATCAGGGGCCCACCCTAATGACCTCACTTAACCAGTTACATCTGCAATGACTCTATTTCCAAATAAGGTCACATACTGAGATATTTGGGGT